GACTACCCTTGGAGCATGTGTCCCCCACCACCTTGTTGCCATGTTTGTACAGGGAGCACTGCCCTGCTAGATCCTAGGTTCCTGTGACAGTATACCTGAGGTGACCAGGTGGCCTCGCCCTGGACTGGTTCTGTGACCCCTGTAAGCCCAGTTCCCAAGAGAGGCATCTGTTCAGCACACTTGGCAGGGCAATGAAGGAGTTCCTAGGTGAAAATCATTTCCCATAATTCCTTGCACCCAGAAGCTACTCAGTCAGTTATCACAATGGGAATAGCGACTGCCAGCAGTTTTTAGGTGTCCCAGGGTACTGGACCTTGTGGTTTGGACCTCACACGTATTAGCACATATGCATAATTCTCACCACAGCCTTCTGAGGGAGGGACTGAAGTCATCCTCATTTCACAGATAAGGACACTGAGGCATAGAGAGGTGAGCAGTGGTTGTGTCACTTCCCTCCTTGTCCCTCTGTCTCTTCCCAAGCCCCAGTGCCCATGTGGTCACAGGCATACTGTGGCCATCAGGCTTAAGAATGGACATATTCAGCCAGGCTTGGTGGCTCAGCCTGTAATCCCGCGCCTTTGAGAGGCTGAGGTGAGTGGATTGCCTGAGCCTACGGGTTCAAGACCCGCCTAGACAGCGAGACCTCATCTCTACAATAAATCAAAAAATCAGCCGGGCGTGGCTGTGTATGCCTGTAATTCCAGCTACTCAGAAGGCTGAGGCGGAAGGATCGCCGGAGCCCAGCAGGTTGAGGCTGTGGTGGCTGGGAGCGGCCACTGCACTCCAGTCTGGGCGACAGAGTGAGACTCCAACTCAAAAAAAAGAATGGATATATTCAGCCAGCCATGGTAGCTCACGCCTGTAATCCCAGCACTTTGGGAGACTGAGACAGGAGAATTGCTTGAACCCAGGAGTTTGAGACCAGCCTGGGCAACATAGTAAGACCTCATCTCTACAAAAAATCAAAAAATTAGCCAGCATGATGGCACATGCCTGTAGTCCCAGGTACTCAGGAGGCTGAGGCGAAAGGATCATCCGAGTCCAACCAAGAAGTTGAGGCTGAAGAGTGGACATTCATTCAGAATCCCTCCAAGGTTGGGCAGAGAGGTGGTTTCTCGATGATACTTGTTTTTATTTCTCAAAGGCTTCCTGAGCCCTTTTGGTGTCTGAAGACATCGTGCCAGTCATGGGAGGAGCCCAAGAACTTGAGGCGATGACTAAAAGCAGAGAACTCTCTCTCGTGCCCCAGGAACATGGGGAGCCAGTGAAGCTTGCTCCCATGTGCAAGGGCCTTCTGGAGGAGGTGGCCTGTGGAGGAGCCTGAAAAGGATGAGTGGCATTTTCACAGTGGGACACAACTTTCCAAACTGAGAAGAGACGCAGAGATGGGAGCATAGAGGCCCCCGTGTTAGGAAACATGTGGCAGGCTGCCACTTCTGCTGAGACGCCAAGTGACTTCTGGCCTTGATGCCTCTGCAATTGAACCAGGATAATGTGGTTCAATTTTGGAGGGACAGGACTATGGCTGGGGGCGGCTTGTGGCATGAGACCAGGCTGTGCTATATTAGTGGTTTACAGAGCGGTGCAGAATGACTAAGCAGCGCTAAGCACCTCTGGGCTGAGCACGTCTGCAGGTTAAACCGAGCTTGTCAGGGGAAGAGAAGGCATCCCAGGGCACTCCCCAGATCCCCTCCCGCCCCAACCAGGCCCTGTCTGCCAGGAGCCTGGCTTGTCCTCGATCCCCAGTGGTGGCATCTGAGTCCAGGCAGAGGCGTTGCGTCGGGAGGG